TCCATAAGACAAGAACGGAAGCCAGTCCCAAGTTCTAAATCCTGGGCAGGGTGCATCCCTCTGAATCCCCTCTCCAGTGAGTGATGTTGCCAGATTCTGTCTAGGTAGATTTCAGAACATAAAAGGGAAGCAGGGGATTGGCGAGGAGGAAAATGTTAGTGAAATGTAGCCAAGACAGAGGAGGGGGAGGCTCACCCTTCCATGGGTAGTGGCTGTCATCGGTCTTAGTTCCAATCATGTTGGAACTGCCTCGTAAGAGCAGTGGGAGTCTTCGTACTGGGAGAAGGCAGGAGCTGGGAGAGACCCGGCAAACCAGAGGACTGTCCCTTCCTGCAGCCTGCTCACAGCGTGCCTGAGGGGCCCTCGAAGATAAAACCCTGCAATCCTAGCTCTCCAACCATGAGTCTAGGTAAAAAGTGCATGGGAACATGCAGTTGCCAGTGCGTCTCTTAATCAAACTGTCATCGTGAGTAATAATTTATGCCTTGAGAAATAGCAGAGTGACTCAAGAAGCTGCCCCCTCCCCCAGCGCCACCCCCTCGCACAGCTCAGCTCTGCAGAGAACCCTAGAGAGGGAAGCCGCCATTTTCTCCTGCCCATCGCTCTCTCGGCGCCTTACAGGCCATTTAGACTCTGGAGTCTGATGGGCAGCTGGAGAAGGCTCTTTGCTGGTTAAAGAGCTGAGTAGGCCTGGCTGCTCAGCAAACACAGTGAGTTGAGGGGCAGGGAAGGGGAGCGAGAAACAAACACTGTTGTCCCTGCGACTCGCGTCCACAGCACTCGCAGGACGCCTGCCCCTCGGACACCGGCCTCTTTCCTCGGTGGGTAAAAAGTGTTTCCCCATCAGCTCAGATTTACTGTAAGTTAAAACAGAATGAAGGCCTACTGTGTGCTGCCTGTTAAAGGACTGGATGTTTTAGGTACTGACAAGGCTATTTTTAAGCTGGTGCGTGTGGCCATCTAGGAGGTTTGAATACTGAAATAGTCTATAGGGACGGTACCTGTCTGCCACCCCAGGCCCCTGGCTGCCTGACTCCTCCATGCCCCCATTCCCCGACGCCAGGGGTCTCATGACCCCACTCAGAACGATGGCTCCTCTCAGTTCTGTGAGGTGCCTGCCCATGCTTTTGAGGCTGCTGACATTTTGAATCTGACTCCCAGTACACAGCCCCACTCCACCCTCACGCAAAGCCCTGTTATCATCTCTGTCTTGCAGGCGAGGAAGACAGGGCTCAAGGATTTGCCTAAGGTCACACACTGAGTCCGGAGCTGGAGCTGGGATCCAGACCACTCAATCGCCAGACCACTGACTGCGTTCCTGCTGCAGAGATGGCCGCATCTCTCCTTGCTCTCCCTGCTTTACCGCAGAACTGAGGCAGGGTCTCAGGGAAACTCCCAGTCACCAGGCCAACAAGAACCCCTCTTCAGCCCTGGCTGGTGTGGCTCAGTGGATTGAGCACCAGCCTGCAAACTGAAGTGTCACCGGTTTGATTCCCAGTCAGGGCACATGCCTGGGTTGCAGGCTGGGTGCCCGGGTGGGGGCATGTGAGAGGCAACTGATCAATGTACAGTACCTCTCGCACATCAATGTTTCTGTCCCTCTCTTTCTCCCTCCCTTCCCCTTTCTCTAAAAATAAATAAATAATATCTTTAAAAAAAAAGAACTCCTCTTCATTCCCACCCTTTCAGCCCCGAGTACACCAGCAGGTACGTAACTGTGCTCCAGCCACCCCTGTGTGGCCACCTCAGAGCATCATTCGTCAGCCCGTAAATCCTGGGCAAGGGAATGAACACTAGGGGCAGGCAGGAGGCCTATGACTTGGGGTCCACCCCAGGTGTGTCCCTTCTCTTCCCCTACCTCTATCAATCATTCTTGCCTCAGCAGAATTCAGGACACAGGAAGCTACTGCCCACACCAGGGAGGGCTATGGGCTAAGGGGCATCTTTTCCCGGGTCTTCTGACCAATGGGAAGGTGTGTAAGTTGCAGTAGGAAGATTAAGGCTGATGGGGGAGGAGTCTGTGTTCATGGGGCAGGTGTGAGGCTGGGACCCTGGCACTCAAGTGCTCAGTCTCTCGGGATCTTCTGTAAGCTGGATGCCTCAAAGTCTAGGTCCATCCTGGCTAGAAAGATGGGATGAATGATGACCCCTGAAAGACCAGCTTGGCCCGGAACTGCACCGATAGTCACTGCGCGGGGAACACTACTGTCTTTAGTACGGCACCAGGTGTCCTCCTCATGCCCCCACATGAGCTGTACAGTCAAGTTTAGGGAACACTAGTAAGCCCAGTGACACAGGCATCTTTTCTGCAGGACTTTCCATGACCTTGACAGTGCACGCAGAGGACAAATCTCTGAGAGGGTGCATCCGAACGTTTCACCAATGGAGCACAAGAACTGCCTTATGGCACAGAGCTTCTCTAAACATCATTTGGCAAATGCCACTCTAAAGAATGAGCGACAGAGGGCTTATCACTGGGCCGGGGGATGGGGAGATTTAGCTACTGGAAAAAGGGGCCATTTCTAACCCAGTGGTTCCCACAAGAGAAACACACTTTCCATTTCCTCTTTCTCTTACCGATTCTTAACTCCCTTCTGGTTCCCTTTCAGGAAGCCCCTACTGTGCTTTTAGAAATGCGCCCAGCTGAAGTCCAGCCGTGGTTCTCAAGGCACCCCTACTTCATCTACCTACCCCTGAGCTCTATTTTCCTAATAAGGCACTCATTGTAGAAATGGAATGATGCCAGGCAAATTTCAAGGCGCATTCATCTGTGTCAGGCACTGTCCTAGATGTTTTATGTGGGTTCTCTCTTTCAATTCATTCATTCACATTTCCCTTCAGTTAATTCTCCTTCGAGCTACTCCCTCGCCCCCCACCCACTGCCCTCCATCAGGAGGGCTGGATATCTCCTCCCCATGAAGCCGGTCCTATGGGAAGGGAAGAGCAAAGCTGAAAAAATGATTCTGACTCTCCCTCTCTGGACAGCAGCTAACCTGCTCTCTCACTGGAAGCAAGATCCCCACATCACCTATTCCCCCTGGGACCTCTGAGTGCTCCGGAAATGGAAATGGAAATAAATGAGCCCTGAGCACTTTGTGGTTGCCAATCCGGTGGCCTCGAGAAGGTGTTACAGAAATTAATATCACGACTTTTTCTTTTGTCCTCACTAGGCAATCTACATACATTACCACCGATCCTCCCAACAAGCCCAACAGACAGAGAGTCTCGTCCTCATTTCAGAGACAAGATTCTGGGCTCAGAGAAGCTAAGTGGCTTCTGTGAAGCCTCACAGCAAGCACGTGGCCAGCCTGCGATTTGAGGCCAGGTCCAACCCAAAGCCCAGTTTCTTTCTGAGGGTACCATCCTCCTTTGGCTGCGGAGATGAACGAGCTGACCAAGGAATTAATATTATTTCTTATTTGTTTGTGTTTTTAAGAAATAACATTGTCAGCCCATGGAGAAGTTCCAGCCTGGAATCCAGGAAAACTGATTACAAGGTGAACCTGTCCTGAAACCCTTCTTCTGGCCCCTGGGCACCACCCACCCTTCCGTTCCCATCATAGTGGTGCCCCCAGCTTTCTTCTAGAGAAGAGGCACCTGATAAAATACCCATCACCCAGTTCAACTTGAGTGTCAGATAAACAATGAATGATTGCTAAATATAAATATATACCCAAATACTGCATGGGACATACTTATAGCTGAAAAATACTCATTGCTTACCAGAAATTCAAATCTGAGTATCCTGTATTTTTATTTGCTAAATCTGGCAGCCCACCCTAGAGTGGGAGGCATGCCGGGAAGTCTCAGGCCTGGCTCCAGGTCCCAAGTGTTGCTCTGAGCCGAGTTGCCATGGCAGCCTGAGCAGGCCATTCTGGAGCTGTCTGCACTTACCTCTCCTGCTTCACCTCGCCCCTGCACCCTCCATGTGCTGAGCACTGAGCTGCTTTCAGTTTCCTCGGATGTGTCATGCCGCTTCTGGCCCACTGTCTTAGCACTTGCTGTGCTCCGTGCGTGTTCTTCCCCCCCTTTCCCCTCCCTGGCTGATTCCTATGGATCCTTCAGGTCTCCACTTAGCATCACTTTTGCCAGGAAGCCTTCTGGGGTGCATCCCTGACCCTCTCCTCCCACAATCCTCCAGCACTGGGTTAGTTAGCACCCTGCTCCTTCCTACCCAGACCCTCAGCATCTACTACATTGCTCTAGAGAGCAGGGGCTGGGTCACACACACTGTTGTCTCCCCAGACCCAGCCTGGCCTCAAGTAGGAAGTCAGTAAATGCTTGTCCAATGAATGAATGAATGCAGGCAGGCAGAACGTCCTGTCAGAGTTTAGTCTCTTCAATGTGACGACTTCCTTCCTCCCTTCCATCTTGACTGACTTTTTTGTCTCTGCCTCCTCTCCTCCCTCCCCTGGAGGGGCTGTGAAAGTCTGGGCTTTGGTCCACAGCACCATTTCTTGGCCAGGACTCAGGTGAGGATGGCCACCGTGGCACAGAGGGGCCTCCTCATGTCCCCGAGCTGATCATGCCAACCAACTGCCCCTGTCAGCTCAAGTCCCGCCACAGGTCAGCAGAAAGCTCAGCTCTTCCTCCTCGGAGCTACAAACCCTCCTGTAACTGCCCCTGCCGTGCCTCACCTTGTGCTCTCCTTGACCCCTGACCCTTTGAGAGGAGTCTAACTGCACTGAGCTCCGAGTCTGCTGTGGGGAGATGCCGGTATCAGATGGCGGAGGGTTAGGGCAGGTGGTGGGGCTCGGTGGGCTCAGAACATCACCCATATGTTCCCTGTTCACCCACCCAAGGCTTTGCCCACGCACAGCCTGACAGGAGAAGGCAGCACAGAATTTAACCCTTTACTGGCATACAGGAGGTAGTTTCACAAAGAACCAGTGTGGTAGCTAGTGGGAACTTTAGCCCCACACACACACACACACACACACACACACACCCGGGAGCTCTGCCTCTTCCCCTTGCAGGCTCCTGCTTGCTTCCAGTGTGGGCTTGATTGGGAAGGTGCTCTCTGGGGGCCAGAAGCGGATGCAAGTGCAGCGAGGTGCACATGGAGGCCTGACCAGGTGGGCGTCTGAAGGGATGGGGGAAGGGGAGAGGGCGGGCACAGGGAGTTGCCCCAAGGCAGGGTTCTGAAAAGCCCTGCATGAGGCTCTCTGATCTGACCTTTAGAGGCAGACCACCTTTCTGTGCCTTCTCATCGTGGCCCCCAGACTCCTGCCTCCAAGTATGTTAAGACGAAAATGGGGGTGAAACACCTTTTAGTCTCAAATTAACTCCGAAATAGACTCCTTCTCCCCCTGCGGATGACTAGCGAGCCTGGAGGACAGCGTACGGCAGCTCCGCCTGCTGGGTCCCAGGCAGCTTTACCAGGCACTTGGTCTGGGTCCCGTCTAGGTACCCACATTTCCAAAACACCCACCTCCACCCCTTCCACCTGCCCAGCCAACTTCTGGCTGGCGCCCAGCCCGAATCGCGGGAGAGGACTCACGCGAAGGGAAGCGCCGGCTCCAGCGGTGGCTCTCCGCGCGGCCAGGTGAGGCGGGGCTGCGGAGGTACAGGTGAGTCCGTCAGGGCTGCGGCAGGTAAGGGGCTCGCGGAGGCTCCGGAGGCCTCCGCTGAGTAAGAGGTTTGTGTTTTCCCCTCCCCTCCTCCTAGTTAACCACACCCCTACTGCTCTCCTCCCCACTTCCTTAAAGGGTGGGGTGTGTTGTCTGTGGTGCTGTGTGCCTGCTCCAGCCTCTTACCATAAACTCTGAAATAGACGCCACCCTCGTTCCCTGCGCTGCACCTGCTCACCCACCTCAGATGCCGTCTTCTGCTATGTGCCCTCTGGGGGCGTCTGCCCCCGAAATCCCTACCACCCCTCCCTCCTCCTTCCACCCCACCTGCAGACTTTTGGAGGGCAGGCACACTTCAAGGATGCCGCTTCCTCTCCAGCCTCCAGACATATTTCAGAGCCAGAGACTGTACCTGCCTCCCATACTCTCAGCCCCTGTTTCTCCATGTCCTAAAGTGCCAGCCCCTTTTCAGGGCACCGGACACCAGGTGACTTACCAGGGGCTTGGCAGAACTCAGGCCGGGTCCCCGAATTGTGATGGGGCAGGGCCAGAGGGCAGCAGCGGAACACTCACAGAAGCCAGCAGCCTTTCCCTTTTCACTGCCCAAGTGAAGAGGCTGCCTCACCTCTTTACTCAGGCCGGTCGGGCAGTACGATCCAAGGCAGTCACCCAAGGGCACTGAGTGACCTCCTCCCCGTGTCACTAACAAGATTCCAGACTTCGTCCTGAACAGAAAGAGGCGAACTGGGCTTAGTGTAAGGTCAAAAAGTCGATGTGTGCTCAGTGTCCCCCACATCCTTAATGCTCCTCTCCAGGGCCCCCACCCCAAATGTCTTCATTCTGTGTCCTGTGAAGGCCCAGGACCTCGCCCAGTCGGAGGATGCCCTTCGGGAGGTCGGCCCTGAGGATGGCAGCTCCTGCAGGGGTGCCGCCCCCATGACACGTCCGGACCTCCATCCCCAGGCCCAGCTGAGCAGCTGCCCCAGGAGAACAGCAGGAAATGCCAGTATTTGGTGAGCATGTCTAAATGCCAACCACTGTGCAAAGGAAGCACCCAGCTTGCATGCCTTTATTTAATTCTCCCCATTTTCTGCAAAGAAGATGGAGACTTATCTAACACATCTGGCCACCAAGTCAGAAAGGCAATATTTCTCAAAGTATGATCAATGGACTACCTGTAGCTTTTAAAATGCAGATACCTGGGTGCCACCCCAGGTCGACTGAAAACCAGCGTCACTGAGCCTGGGGCCCACTGTCCCAAAAAGGTAACTTACAAACCATCTGCTGGGAGCTCATGGTCACAACTGTCCTTTTCCACCCACCCATCGTGGTCCCAACACTCACTTGGAATCTTGGTAGTAATGCTGGTGACCGCACAGCATTCAGAAGGTGGCCAAGTGGGTGTCCAGGAGGATCTTGGCCAGGGCTTGGTGAGACAGGGCAAGTCAGAGTAAACTGGGAAGAGCAGGGAAAGTGTGGGAGAGACAGGCGGCTAACTGACCACACTGCAAGGAAGTTGTCGGATGGCTTCAGAAAGTGGGTGGCCCCTCGGTATTCTCATGCATGGAGTGAGGTGAGGAAGTGTTAGTGGTGTGAAGGTAAATTGTTCAGGGTCTGTACTAGGGTGGTGACGGCGGGGAACTAAGTGCGCAAAAAAGCCATACTGGTTTAAGAAAAGGTGAGTGTGTGTATACTGCTCCCATGTGGCCAAGTCCATGAACTACAACCTCATTAGGCCCTGATTCCAGAAAGAAAAGTTTCCAGATATTCAAAATTTTCAGAGGTTGTTGAATTCTTCAGCGATTTTTTTGAAGCTCCAAAACTTAGCTCCTAGGCTAGTAGAATCATAGATTTAACTGTAAGAAATGCTTACAGGAGCCTAGAAGTCCATGTTGGTGCTCTAAAAATTTTCTATCAATGCCTCATTGTGGGTTGGGATCGTGATATACCCCAGTGGAGAAGCGAAACTATTTTCTTTCAGTCTGTTTCTGGCTGTGTCCAAGCAGAGATGGTGCTACTATGCAGGTCCTGGCTAGAAGTGGGGGAAAATGTGTGGGCAGTTCAGCAGGCAGAGAAAACTAGAAGGAAAAAAAAGACTTTTTCATGTAAATGCTTTGTCTTTACCCCGCATTCAGGTCTTTAACTGCACACCTCTGCTAGATCCCCTGCCAGTCTTCCCCGAGAGTATCCACATTATCCCTGGACGCCAAATGCTAGAATCCTAGAGTCACCTTTGACTGTCTCTCCTTCATTACCGCATAGCCTTTCAATCTCCAAGCCCTGGGGGTCTTTTCCAGCACCTTTCCTACTCTCTCTTATCCTGTTGCCTCTCTGGTTCATGGTCTCTTTGTCTTATAACCAGACTCATGAAAAGGGTTCTGCTAACCTGTCCTCCACTCTCACCCCAAGAGTAATTGGGACTGGAGCTCAGAAAACTGGTCTGAGTGGGTGATGAACTTCTGGGAGAGCATCTGAAACCACAAGAATGGATAAGATTGTCTGGGGCGGGAGTAAGAGGAAGCAGAGACCTGAAGGTCAGGCTCTTGCCAGAAGCAAATTCAGTGAAGAGGCCCAAGTCAAATGGGGCGGGTTGATGAGCAAACCAGAAGTGAAGACGTGTAGGCAGCATGCGCCAACTACTTTGGAAAAGCTTAGTTGAAAGGGGAATCAAGAGCTAGGTGGTGGTGGAGGGCGTTGTGGGCCGAAAGAGGGCTCTTTTGTCATTGGTTTAACATGGTAGCTAGCAGAGCAGGCTTAAATGCACTAGCAGGATCCAAATAAGGGAGAAGAGATGACCTTGGGCAAGCAAATCCATCACCCACTTTGTATTTCCTAAGCAGGAAAAGTAGAAGTGTAAGTATTACTGGCTCTACATATTTCACAGGGTACCAGTGAGATTCCTCACTAGGGTAAGTGATAGGTATGAAAATGCTGTGATTATTGCTTTTAGAAATCATAGGAATTAACTAGGACAGGATTGTCAGGAAATACTACATATGTATCTGTTATGTAGATATAATTTGTTGAGTGTTCACTGTGAGCGAAGAACTTTCGTCCATCATGTAATTAGTCTGCACAACTGAGGTCATAAGAGTTTTTCTATTTTGTAAAAAGGAAAAGGAGACTTAAAGAAGGTAAGTAATTTATCTACAGCCAGCCAAGTGTTAAAGAGTAGAGCTGAATCTGAAACCATCATTGGCAGTGCTGTGATGGTATATAATTGGGGTCTTTCCATTCTGGATAATGGAATTAAATCACATAATATAAATTTACTATTAAAATAAATTTCATTTTTAAAGAATAGTATGGTTATAAGTGTTCTAAACGCAAAAAAAGGAACAAAAGCAATCTTATGGGCACAGAACTAAATAATTGAAGTCCTTCATCACCAAAGGATATCCATTTCTAATTTAATCAGGTACCACTAGGTTTACTAAATGGACTGCAGTTGAAGCCAAAATGAAACACTCAAACTCATACCCTTGACTTAGAAAAAAAACTCTTTCTTCTATCCATGAAAGCACTCCTGATTGTTCCCCTTCCTTCCCTTGTAATAGAATCCCTAATTTTTAGTTGGTCTTGGGCTGCCCAAAATAAAAACTACATTTCCCAGTGTTCCCTGCAGGTATAACCATGTGATTAAGCTCCCAGCAATGGTGGGCAACTTCAGGATGGTGCCCTTCAGGGGAACTGGCATACCCTCCGCTATTCCCTTTTCCATGCCAGCTGATGGCAGGAACCGGAGCAGCCATCTTGATCTGTGCTGCTGAGAAGAGCGGAACACAGTGAGAGATGAAGTCTAGGTTTCTGTTGCCACCAAACCACCATGCTAGTCCTTGAAACAGTCTGGACATAGGTGAAGCTTTAGGTGAAAAAGACACACGTTATTTAGGCTTTTGCATTTTGGCCTTTTCTGTTACCATAGCCTAGACTGCATGCACCCTAACTAATGTGCCACCACCTGGCCTGTTTTCTTTCATACACAAATTAAGGCAGAACCTCAATTTTCTCATCCAAAAAATGGGAATAATTTGCCTTACAGGGTTGTTGGAAAGACTGGAAATATTACTTCTAAATTTCCTTGCTGGTGCTATGGCTCATGGCTGATGAAAGATGGAAGGTATTCTAGCCTATTATTTTATTGTAAAAAATGCGTCCTGGAAATCAAAATAATCAGTATTTTAAAATACTCTATGACCCCCACCCATGTGGGAAGGAGAACTGAAACAAAAATAGCAAAGTTGATAACTGACGTGAGCTGAGTAGTAGGATATGGAGGTTAATTGTACTGTTCTCTCCATTACTGTCTTTAAAAAGGTTCATAGAGAAAAAAAAGTTACAACAAATAAAATCTTTCCACAGAGAAAAAAAGTAATTCCTGGACATAATCCAAAGTGAATTTTGGGGGGAAAAATAAAATTGTATTCAATCCTTTGAGAAATTAATTTGGGCACTCAAGGGGGAGCCCAGATAGAGAGAGCAAAAGAATGTTTTTTGTTTTTCTACTACAGCACCACCGGCAGAGCCTCCGTGCCCCCGAAGCCAGGCAGTCTCCACAGCCCCGGACCCTGGGGTCGGGCCTGCAGCGTGCTCCTGCGGGCTGCGCACACAGGAATGGGACCTGCCCTGCTGCCTTGCCCATTCCCAGTCAACTCCACGGCTGCTGCGACTATGGCCTTCCTGGCTCTCAGTCCCTTACTGCCACCTGTGAGTGAGCTCACCGGGGTCCTGCAACCTGTGACTAAGCTCTAAAGCAATGAAGTGACTGTGTGAACCTTTTCTTTCCATTGTTAACCTGTGCATTTCTAACTAATGTGGCTATCTGCTCACGGCCCACACTGTGCTGGAAGCATCAACTAGGAAGTGAGGGTAGATTGCACAAGAGGAACCTCTTAAAAAGAAACAACAAATGCCTAGCAAATGTAAGAACCCTGCAATCACGGGCCTCTGCGGACATTTACACACAGGACAAACAGCCCTCCGTGCTTCACTACCTCCTGAGCATACCCCTTTATCACTCAGCGCAGCACGGTAATCATTGCCTATTTTGGACATCATAAAGAAAACTTTAAATTATGCTCTGCATCCTGTATTTTAGAGAAAAAAAGCACACACTATATTTCAGGAAAGTTTTTATGCAGATGTTTGCAATAAAACAATATAAATTTCAGGAACATGGGAAATCAGCTTAGATTTCACTTGTCTCAAGTTGCTAAGTTGCCTATCTGTACCAGAGTATTTTACCATCTTAGCTTCTCAATGAATCACAGCAGTGTGTGACCCCCACTGGGGACATCAGAACAAGAGGCCCAAAACCCAAATGCCTTCAGAAGCAAAGCAGGGAATGTGAGGAAGACTGGCTGTACAGGGACTGGAAAACTTACATCCCTCCTACAGGAAGCAGCTGCTCTTCAGCTCGAAAGTCTACTAGCATGCAGGAGAGGAAGCTTAATATGATAATATGGCCAGGCCATCTGTCCATCCGTCCTTCCTTCCTTCCTTCCTTTCTCTTTCTTTCTTTTTTAAGAAAAATCAGATGACTATCCAAAAAGGAAATTAAGAAAAGAATTGCATTTACAGTAGCATCAAAAAGAATAAAATACTTAGGGATGCACTTAACCAAAGACGTGGAAGACTCGTAGACTGAAAACTATAAAACACTGCTGAAAGAAGTTAACAGGATACAAATCAATGGAAAGCTATCCTGTGTTCATGAATTAGAAGACAACATTGTGAAGATGTCAGGACTACCCAAAGTGATCTACAGATTTAATGCAACCCCAACGGTATTTTATGCATACATAGAAAAAATCCATTCTAAAATTCATATGGAATCTCTCAGGAACCCTAATGGTTAAGCTCTGAGTAGGGGAGCTGTGAATCATGTATAAGAAACACTGCAGAAGGCAAAGGAATTAGTGGTATTCATCCCCTCTGCATTGTGGAGAAAGGATTATTCTGAGGAAAAGTTGGGAAGAAAACTGTCAAGAACTATAAAAGGTAAGACATTTCAGCCTACTTGCGAACCAACGAGTTAGCCTGCCAGTTTTATGAGTTCTGGTAGATGAGTGAGACTCCAAGGCCAGAGACGAAGGGCAGTTTATGACTAACAGCAACAGCAGCAGTCAGACTATCATCTGGGCCCTGTTTCCTGCACCTTTAATTCCCACAAGCCCATGAGATGAAGGCCACAGGAGGCTGCAGTAGAGGAGGGCTCAAAAGGCCTGAAGCGGAGGGAACCTGAATGTTTCATAGTTGTGAGATCACCAGACTATTTTTCCGGAGACATTATTTCTGCCTTCCAACAATGTTTACCATAGAAACATCCTTGGAAAGACAGCCCCAAAATGGCAGTCGATGTCTTAGCTCCATACAGAAACACGAGACACGTGGAAATCGTCTTCCGATAGAAACCAGGAATGGAAGCATTTCATTCCAAATCAGGAGAAAGGACTCCTACCTCTGAAGGCTGTGAAGTGATCAAGCGGGGCGGGGGGGGGGGGGGGGGGGGCCAGAAATGGGGAGTTGGAGAGACTCTGGCGTGCCATTCAAGGATGGACCCTAGTTCCCAGTGCTAACTTTGGAGAAGTCCCTACTTTGTTTTAATGAGGGCCTGCCTAATGTAATGAGCAATTTTCATACTTATTTCACTTTAATCCTCACGTCTTAGGGAGAGAAGAGATATTAGCATCCCTTTATACATACGGAAATAGATTTTGAAAGACTGTGACTTGCCCACTTACTGAATCAGGAAACAAGAACGGCGTCTTCCTTCACCTGTTTCCTACTTACCCCAGAGGGTAATAAGACGGGCTAAAATTAAGTAAACAACTAATGCAAGAGTGGCCACGGATCTTTGAAAGGGCATTATAAATCCTAAGTGGTGAAAACACTAACCGCCCTTTCAGACTCACTCTATTTCGGACTCAGGAAATGGGGAGCTCTCGCTCTCCCTACCTCGCGGGCCTGACATTTAGGGGATTGGTTAAGGAAGGGGGGTCCTAGTCTTCATTTCCCATTTCAACTAGGAAGTACATTTCCAGTGACACGGAAGTCTTACAGCTTAGCTGCAGCGCTTCTTCCTCCCTAAATCCTGTCTGACAGCCAGGTGGGCGGGGACAATAGAGCAAAGCAGCCCAGCCTCGATCTCCGGGGATTTGCCACACAGACCGGAAGCGGGGCGGAGCCTCAAGCATGCTTCGCACGATTGGTCGGCGCCGCTGTCGTTTAGCTCTCCGAGGGAAAGGGGCTGGGTGCAGCTTGCCCAAGGGTCTGTGGAGACCCGAGGTGGGTGAGAGTGGGGCAAGCGAAAGTTGCGATCTGTACTTGCCATGGAGCCAGGCCCTGCGGTGTCCCCCGGACCTTTCCGCTCCTTCAAGGAGGAACTGCTTTGCGCGGTCTGCTACGACCCCTTCCGCGATGCCGTGACTCTGCGCTGCGGCCACAACTTCTGCCGCGAGTGCGTGACCAGCTGCTGGGAGGCGCAGGTGTCGCCCTCATGCCCAGTGTGCAAGGACCGCGCGGCCTCCGCCGACCTGCGCACCAACCACACCCTCAACAACCTGGTGGAAAAGCTACTGCGCGAGGAGGCCGAAGGCCCACGCTGGAAGGGCCACCGCTTCCCGCGCCTCTGCCGCTTGCACCGCGGCCAGTTCAACCTATTTTGCATCGATGACAAGGAGTTACTGTGCTGCTCGTGCCAGGCCGACCCCCGGCACCAGGGACACCGCGTGCAGACAGTGAAGGACACTGCCCAAGACTTTCGGGTAAGCGCGGATGTGTGAGGGATGTGGTCCAGCGCGCACGTGGCGGTCGAATCAGCACTCGAACCCAGCACCCCTGAGCCCGCTATTCCTGCCACTCCAACCTGCCTGAGCTGAGTGTGCTCAGTCCAGCCCTCCTTCCTGCCGCCAGCTTGCTGGTATCGCCTGGGGCCCCCACCTGGATGACTCCGGTAACCTATTGAGGCTGCCTTTGTCATCAAAACGGGCCTGAAATGGGAGAACAGAGAATGTACACAGTGTGCGAACCGAGTTTAGGCGAGGTTCTCAAGACAGTCCCACCCACTTCTTAGGCCAGGCACCCTTTCTGCCAGTAGGGTGTGGCCCTTGCCTCTTTGAGAAGCACCAGGGTGGAGGAAACTCAGGAATCCTGGAGATTGGCACACTCAGGTTAGAGGTACAGGAGCCCAAAGCCTGGCCATGGATAAGGAGCCTTGAGATCCCCTATGTGGTCACCTGCTTCCCCACCCGGCCTCTGTATTCTGTAGCTGTGGGGAGGCTTCTGGCCCTGGGCACCTGGCTGTTTCTGAATCACTTTTTCAACCTCCCAATGCCTAGAGTGCCAGTAGCTATAAATAAAGTAAGGGGCAGCTTAAAACAACAACCTTATCTCACAGGAGGGAGAGATCACTGGGGGCTGTCTTAGAGGCTGCCTACAAGGTTCGTATTCTGCCACATACTAGCTGTGTGCCCTTGGGCTTGTCACTTCCCACTTCTGTGCTTCAGTTGTTTTCATCTATGAAATGGGACTAATATTCCTCAACCTAATAAGGATAATGTGATGATTAAGTGATAGGAATCTGTAAAGTAATTACTGCAGTCCCTGGCAAATAGTAAAAGCTCAATAAATGGTAGTCATTTATAATTATTGTTACTAGAATTGTTATTTTTATTATTTTTCCAAAGAAAAACACTTGAAGAGCTTTCTCAGAATGTAGTGAGAAATAGGTAAAGACAGAGAAAATGCTAGGCCTTGGATACAAAAGGTGGGAATTCGACATAAAACTAGTCCTGCCCTGGCTGGTGTGGCTCAGTGGACTGAGTGCTGCCCTGTGAACTGAAAGGTCACCAGTTAGATTCCCCATCAGGGCACATGCCTGGGTTGTGGCCAGGTCCTCTATTGGGGTATTGGGGATGTGTGAGAGGCAACTGATTGATGTTTCTCTCCCTCAATTTCTCCCTCCCTTGCCCTCTTTCTAAAAGGAAATAAATTTTTTTTAAAACTAGCCCCAGTTCTTCAAGGAGTCCAAGGAGATTAGAGCAGTGGTTAAAGTTTAAAAAAGAAAAAGGTATTCAAATTTGCTGATTAAAGTATTTCACATGATCCAAGCAAAATGAGAATATCAGGATGTGGGGAGACATGTAGTTTAGATAAGGACCCATGGCAGTAAGTGGGTGAACCCTGTGGTCAGACCTGTTGGTTGGATTGCAGGCCAGACCAGGTTAGAAGGCCGCAAAGGGAGCCTGCGGGCACATTGTCTTTACACTTATATGTGTGGTTCAGGATTCATGGCTGAGCCTGGACCAGCTTTAGGCCTGGGCAGGGTGCAGTCCCTCTTTTCTGCACTGTAACCAGCTTGAGAGGGAGTAGGCCCCTTGACCTCCTCAGCCCTGTCCCCTTATCTATAGTGGGAATAAAACAATAGTGTTGGGTTAGAGGATATCTGAGGGCCCTTTATTCTGTAGACACCAGGTTCAAAGTCAGGCTATACTTTCTGCCATTCCTTGCAATCTGAATGGACTGGGCTCAGTAATTATGATTGAGTGGAACTTCTTGTGGAAGTGGAACTCCAGTTGTAGATGTGTTGTCCTCCCTGTCTGACCTCCACTCCTAACCTGCCTTCTTGCCTCCCTCTCATTCCTCCCATCAGGCCAAGTGTAGGAACATGGAGCACTCACTGCGGGAGAAAGCCAAGGCCTCCTTGGTCATACAGCACTCCTACCAGGCCATTGCCAAGCACAATCAGGTAAGTGAGTGCTCAGGCTGCGCTGCAGACCAGGGCCACATGGGGCCATCTGGGGGATAGGTGAGGGCGAGTTGGCCTTGGCCATGGCTGTTGATGCAGAGTCCGCCTTCCCCAGCCTGATGGTCTGGCATAGCCATGCTCTTGAACACCGATTGTGGCTGTCATGCCAGGACCTCTTTGAATACCTGGGCATGGTCATACCAGCAGCCATAGAAGTTGCTTTAAAAGCCACCTGTGCCCTGGCAGGGTGGCTCAGTTGGTTGGAACATTGTCCTGTTCACCTAAAGGTTGCAGGTTTTATCCCAGTTAGGGTGCATACATACCTAGGCTGCGGGTTCAGTCCCAGGCTGGGGCACATGGGGGAGGCAACCAATTGATGTTTCTCTCTCTCTCCCCCTATCCCCTCTCTAAAATCAATGAACATATCCTCGAGTGAGGGTTTTGTTTTTTTTTAAAGCCACCTTCGCCATCTGCACTATGGTTTCAGACTAACTTAAGTGCCACACTTCTCCGTGTACCTGAGTGCTCAAGCCAGTGATGGCCTGGGGTCATTAGTTATTCCTCTTTCCCGCTCACTCTCCATGTCCACTCCATCAGCAGTCTTGTCCCCAGGTCACCGTCTCTTCTCACCTGCCCTGCTACCTGGGCCCCATGCTTCCTTCCACTCATTCTGCAATCCTGTCTCCACAGAGTAGACCGCTCTTCTAGAAAAATGCATCGATTATGTCACTTCGCTGCTTAAAACTGTCCGGCAACTCCCATGCCATGCAGAATACAATCCTGACTCCTCACCATGGCCTCCGAGGCCCTCACCCAACCCCTGCCCGCCCTCACCTTCATCTCTTCCCGGGCTGGGCTGCACTCTCTGTTTCAGCCCCACTGGCCTTCTTTCTGTCCCTTCGACGAGCTAAGTCTTCTGGCTAGTTTTTCCTGAATCACCTCAGATTTCACTGTCCCTCCCACTATACATTATCAATCTTAAAAAGATTGATATTTCACCAGTGGCATCTCTGCTCATTTGCATTTCTCAGATTATTAGTAAATTTGTACATCCTTTCACAAGTATAATAACCATTTACGTTTCTTCCAGGAATGCTAATTCACAGTCATTTTTTCTTGGAATATTTATCGTTTCTCCTTGTGCATCATAAGAGCACTTTGCATATTAAGAAAAATATGTTCTTATCTATATTCACATATGTGTGTATGTCAGAGATATTTTTTCTAGTTTGTCATTTCTTTTTCAGTGAATCATTTTCACTTTTTTGGTGATTTGCACTTTGTCAGTGAGTCATTATATTGTCACCGCCATAAACATACATTGAATTTTCAATCCAGAGGTGTATCTTCCTAACCTGCCATTACTGGAGCACACATTTTGTGGTGTTTTTCTGAGAGTCATCATAAAATATACAGTTTGTATATTTCCATAAATATGTATTTACCTGTATTAGTGGTCTCCTTCCGTACAAAACTTCTTATTTTTATACGTATTCAGTTACTTAGTTCTTTCTTTGAGGCTTCTCAGTCTCATAGAAAGAAAGGTCTTTCTCATTGCAAGAGGGGAGATATTTTTATGCTTTTTTTTTAGTACATTTGTAGTTTTACCTTTTTTAAAGCTTTTTGTAGTTAGGATTAAGAGTAAGCATATTATTAACGATTCTGTTTTAAAGTAAATACTCCTACTCTTCTTTTGGTAAGCCTCCTGATCAAACAAATTTGAAGTCCTAAGATTGGAAGGCAGATAATTTTTTAAAAATAGTTGCTGTTTGCATTGATTCTTTTCGTGATTCAGGATTTCCTTTGCTGTCGTGCAAAGTAAGCAAGATACAGAATACTGTATGTGGGGAAGGTTACAAGGCTAGATTGGTCATATAGAAGCAGCAATTTCAACTCTTAAAAAATCAAAACAACTTCATTATGCTATCTGATTTTGAAATGTAAACTGGAACATTGTGCTAAGGTAGCTGCATCTATATTTCATACATTTGGGTTCTACAAATGGTTTCTTGTGAAAGCAGAGTACCTTTGCTAAAATTCTGAGAACCACTGGGCTAGGCGATGGCTGAGGTGCCCTCCACGCCTGATCCTCTGCGCCTCCTTCCCACTCTGCTGCAGGAGAAGTCTGCCTGGCTGGAAAAGCGGATCCGGCAGGAGTTTGATAAGCTTCGAGAGTTCTTAAGAGTGGAGGAGCAGGCCATCCTGGATGCCGTCGCCGAGGAGACCAGGCAGAAGCAGCTTCTGGCGGAGGAGAAGATGAAGCAGCTCAGGGAAAACACAAAGACCCTGATGCACGAGACCGAGCGGCTGCAGATGGAAATGAAGGAAGACGATGTTTCTTTTCTCATGGTGAGGAGCTCACTGTCTTCATTCAGTGGCAGAGACTGAATGTTCAGGAACCGGTGGGCAACCAGAGACCAGCAGCCCCAAGCAACCCGGTGTTTCCGTAGCTTCCAGATACTGGGTTGGAGGAGCTCACAGACCACATCCTCTGCTTGGGTCAAGAGGCCGAAAAGATTTGAATCAGAGCAGAGTGCCTGATTCAAGCCGGAACTGCCAAGCTGTTTTCCAAGAGACTGTAGCATTTTACATTCCCACTAGCAGTGTATGAGGATTGCAGTTTCTCCTCATCCTTGCCAACACTTACGTCTTTTTCATTATAGCCATCATAATGGGTGTGAAATCTCTTATGGTTCTGATTTGCATTTCCCTGATGGCTGGTGATGTTGAGCATCTTTTTTTATGTAGTTGTTGGCCATTTATGTATCTTCTTTGGAGAAATGTACATTCAAGTCCTTTAGCCGTATTAAAAATTGGGTTGCCTGTCTTTTTTGTTAAATGGTAAGATTTTTTAATATATTGTGGATACTAGACCTTGATCAGCTATGTGATTTATAAATATTTTCTTCCATTCTGAGTTATTTTTTCAGTTTCTTGATGGCATCCTTTGAAGCACAAACGGTTTTCATTTTGATGAAGTGCTACTCACCTGTGTTTTCTCCTGCTGCTTGTTTGTGCTTTTGGTGTCATATCTAAGAAACCATAGCCTAATCCAAGGTCATGAGTCTTATGGTTTTATCTCTACATTTATGTCTTTGACCCTTTTTGAGTTAATTTTTGTATGTGGTGCAAGGTGGGAACCCACCCTCATGCCGTCGCACGTGGGTGCCCGACCGCCCCAGCACCGTGTGTTGCAGACTGTTCTCCATCGAATGGTCCTGGCCCCCTTGTAATAACCGATCACCAGTAAACGTGATGGTTTACTGCTAGACTTTGCACATCCACTGACCCATACGTCTGTCTTTAATGTTGGTACCGAGCTGGCTTGTTTACTGTTGCTTTTAATAAACTTTAAAATAGGGAGGATGGTGAGCCACCAACTTTGTTCTTTTCCAAGACTGTTTTGACTGTTCTGGATCCCTTGAACTTTCAGATGAATTTTAGGATCAGCTTATCAGTTTCTCCAAGCAATCCAGCTGGAATTTTGACAGAAACTGCATTGAGTCTGTGGTTAATGTTGGGGGGTACAGCCATCTCCACATGGGCTGTGTGGCTCCTTTTGAGGTCAGAAACTTATATGTCTTCTCTGTGTCTATGTTTGTGTCTGATTTTTTCTCTTTCAGAAACACAAGAGCCGAAAACGCCGGTAAGTTACCAAGGCTGATGTAGGGGAGGGAAAGAGCGGGCAGAAATACCAGGGGTGCAAAGTCCGGTAGTTCCAGGGCCAGGCAGGTGAAAAGCCAGCTGGGTATAATACAGAGGGAGCAGTAGGGACTGGCTGATGCAGAGAGGTCCTCTTTCAAGGTATCCCACTGGTACAGTGTTGTTTTCCTGAGTGTGGGGCAATCCCATCCCCTGGGTGGGGAGAGATAGCACCATCCCGCAGGTGGCTCACAGTTCCCAGCAGGTCACCCCAACATTTAAGCTTACTCCTTGGTCATCCCCACCCTCTTAGAGCCTCGGGACACATGCTGGTTTGTGTTGATGGTTGTCCACAGGAATGGGTAAGGAAGACCTGTGTCACAGTCAGAGCTGTACAGAGATGGAAGAGAGTGCTTTACTGAGTTCCCTGTCACTGTAGGTGTTCAAGCAAAGGCCAGTGACATCTTCATACTGTTGGATTAGAAAACTTTTAAAGGTCCCTTTCACCTCAGACATCCTATGAGCAGATGTGTAAGTGTGAGCTTTATCCTCAAGGATGGGACCCGTGTCTGAGAAAGTCCTACATATATGTATTCAGCTTGGTCAGGGGGAGCCCTCAGACTGAATCCTGAAGCTGTATAAGCTGCCCATTATCTTCTGGCTCATCATCCATCAGAGCCCAGTCTGGGTTTGTCCTGGGTGGGTGGTGAGGAAGTTAGGCCTCTGACAAGTGAAGCAGTCCTGTTGTTTGTTAAATTCAGCTGACCCAGGTAGGCCCAGGATGCACGGCTCTGGCCCTGCCCACTAGGCCCAGTTCTCCTTCCCCAGCCTCTTCTGCACCATGGAGCCAGAACCCATTCAGCCTGGCATGCTCATCGACATCTGCAAGTACCTGGACTCCCTACAGTACCGCGTCTGGAGGAAGATGGTCATGTCTGTCGAATCTGGTGAGTGGGGGTGTGGGCAGGTGATACAGATCATGGGGGGGGCACTTCATGCACTACAGAGAACCAGCAGAACTCACTTTCTCCAGCCTTGTTCAGAGAGGCCCCTGGTGCCCTGCCCCTCCTCCACTCCTTGCTGCATTGCTCAAACCTCTCCTGGCAGAACTCCTTCCTCTTTGAGTTCTGACACTTAGCTACCGCTTCAGAAAAAGAAACTGACTGTCCTCTCTGTTCAGAACAGTATCGTATACATAATGGGAGACCTCCTCAGTTCAGGACTGCCCTCCTCCAGGTGGCTCCAGCCCACAGAATCTCTTGTGTCATATGCAGGGGGCTGAATGTCCTCCCCCCCAGCCACCACCAAATTCTTGTGTCGAAGTCCTAATCTTCAGATCGATGGTGTTTGGAGGCAGGGCCTTTGGGATGTGATTCAGATCAGATGAGATCATAAGGGTGAGGCCCTCATGAAAAGAGACAAGAGCGCTGGCTTCCTCTCTCTTCATTTTGTGAGGACACAGCGAGAAAGTGGCCATCTGTAAACCAAAAAGAGGGCCCTCACCAGCACCAGGCCATGGGGGTACCCTGATCCTGGACTTCAGCCTCCAGAGCTGGGAGAAATAAACTGTTGTTTAGGCCACCCCTTCTGCGGTGCTCTTTTTGTAGCCGCCCAAACTGACTGAGACTCATGATTTTCCTGGGAGAAATGTCAGTGACCTGGGGAACATTACGTGCGACGGCATGGGAGTTGTGTGAGCATCAGGCTCCCTGACTCTGCTAGCTTCCTCTGGCTGTTAACAACCAAAGACTGCAAACTGGATGCCTCAGAATGACAGAAATTGACTCTCACACTGCAGGAAGCTAGAAGTCCAAAATCAAGGTGTCAGCAGGGCCATGCACCTTCTGAGTGCTGCAGGGGAAGCTCCGTCTCAGTCTCTTCCTAACTCCTGGTGTTCGCAGGCCATCCGCGGTTCGTGCTGCAGCCCTGTTGGCTCCACCTTTGTGGTTGTGTGGCCCTCTCCCCTCACTGTGTTGCTTCTCTTTCTGTAAGGACAAGTCTTTGCTTTAAGGCCCCACTCCAGCCCACTCTAATGACGTCTTAAACAAACAAGGCCATCGGAGGTACTGGGGGTTAGGGCTCCCACATACCATTTTTGGTGAGGCACATTCCAAACCATAACACTGTCCCTCAGCCCCGGGCGGCTCCCTCCCTGGACTGGGGCCACGTGGGATACCATCGGTCAGTCTGGGGGACTGGGGCCGCAGCTGGCGCGGCAGAAGTGCAGGAGGGGAGGTTCTCTGATTTCATCCGCTCTCCCTCTCTGCTCTCAGTGCCCTTCAGCTTTGATCCCAACACCGCAGCGGGCTGGCTGTCCGTGTCCGATGACCTCACCAGTGTCACCAACCACGGCTACCGAGTGCAGGTGGAGAACCCAGAGCGCTTCTCCTCGGCACCCTGCCTACTGGGCTCGCGCACCTTCTCCCAGGGCTCCCACGCCTGGGAGGTAGACCTGGGAACGCTGCCCAGTTGGCGGGTGGGCGTGGCACGCATGCGCCAGGATACTGGCACCGGGGGCCACTCCCACAGCTGCTACCAAGACACTCGCTCCGGCTTCTGGTATTTGTGCCGCACGCAGGGGGTGGAGGGTGACCACTGCGTGACCTCAGACCCAACCACGTCACCACTGGTCCCCTCCATCCCACGCCGCCTGCGTGTGGAGCTGGAATGTGAGGAGGGCGAGCTGTCCTTCTACGATGCTGAGCGCCACAACCACCTCTACACCTTCCATGCCCGCTTTGGGGAGGTGCGGCCCTACTTCTACCTGGGGGGCACAAGGGGGGATGGGCCCCCCAAACCTATGCGCATCTGCCCCCTGCGCATCACCATCAAGGAGGAGCTGGATGGCTGAGGCCGCCGGGAGCCCGCCCGACACTGCCCAGGTGTATGCCACGGCCCTGATTTCTTTCTGTCCCTCTTCCTAACGCCCCTCCCTCGGGCACCTCTACCTCCTGCTTTCTTGCCAGGATCTTGGTACTGACTCTGATCCCTCTTCATGGCTCTGTGCCCCGAGTCTCCCTCTTTGTTCTTGGTCTTTATCCACAGCTGGCTGGCCAGGCTCTCCCCAGAGTCGTGGCAGGATGTGAATTTTCTGAACCCTGATGTCCCTATTTCTGGGGATGATGTTTGCCTCTAGAGTAGACCTGTTTTAAAATTTTTTAATATAGGTTTTATCATTATTCAGGTGTGGTGAGGCCAACAGACCAGCAGAAAACTGCTGTTAAAAAGAGTTTCTTACTTTGAGTTCCTAAGAGGGGCCCTGAGATTTGGGGATGGGGGTGGGGGGCACACACAGGGAAGGACCAGGTCCCCTGGGAGGCAGAGTGAAGGGAGAGCACAGGTGGGAGACCAGGTGGGAGACCGCTGTGGTCTTCACAGGAAGGAGCAGGTGAGGCAGGTACAGGTTGGACAGGTGTAGGACCAGATAGTTCAGCTAGCCCTGGGAGGGGCAGCCCGTGACCAGTGAGCTCCACGTTTTAGTATCAAGAATAAGAAAACAGTGGAGCACAGTTAATGCAGGGCCGTGGCTGTGGCTTTAGGGCAGGACCAGGCCTTAGCTTATCTGTCACTTTTTACCAGTGTTTTTAAACTGCTTCACAGAGCTCCCCTAGGGCCCCTCACAGGTCAAGGTAAGGCTGCCCATCAGATCAACTCTGATTTATCTCCTGACACTTTTTGGATAATTTCCTCTGAACAGAGGGTTTCAGAGTGCTTAAAAAACACAATTTTAGAACCATAGTCTAGACCGGTTTCCTCTCTGGTCCTCAGTTTCTGCATCTGTAAGTGACACAGCAGAACTGGAAGGCCATGTGCTTCTGTAACTGCTCCGAAGGAAACCCCTCTGGTCAGTTACACAGGCAGGAGAAGGGAAGGGAAGCAGGTATGGGCGGGGTGTGCGAGGAGTGAGAAGCGAGGGAGATGCGTCTGCTGACCTCGGCCTGCGTATGCTTGCTCTGCTGCCTTTGGCGTTTTTATCCCAAGTTCTCCCTCTGCCACGCCTGCCAGACGTGGATCCCCACCTTTTTTTTACCTCACACACACCTACAGGTAGTTTTTAGTGCTCGGATCCCTGTGTCCTGGGGACAGCATTGTAAAGGAAATATTTTTCTATAGTAGCAACATTCTCATCGGGGGCAGCACGTTCCTGACCAAGGATTCATATCCTTTCTCCTGCCTGTACCCCTGGTTCACAGAAACGGACATTTTAAACAGAAATGATGATTCAAAGCTATAAATATGTTATAAACATGGTGCATACTTTGGTAGGGGGCCCGGGAGGGACATGGTAGGAAATGCCATGAGTAAAGGCAACCAGGTGGGAAGTGTGAGGACGTTGGTGAGCGGGCCCCTTGACAGGCACTCAGAACAGCTCAAGGCACTTTGATACCAAACACACCCGAGGTCGGTGTGCACTCTCTCAAATCAAGTATTTATCTAGCCCTTCTAATGTAATTCTTACATAGTTATCTTGACCAGAAGTTATTTTGTTAGTTACAATAAACTTCTTAAAGTGTTTTATATTTCCACCTTAGATGTTGGAAGAGTTTTTTTTTTAACAGAATAATTTGGATAGCCTAGACCCCTTTTTACAAAAATAAAAATGATATTTGGGATAAAACCCACTTTTTTTGACATTTCCCTTTTAGTGTTCTTGTAAGCAAAAGTTCATGTAGCATGTATTCAACTCTATTCCTTTTTATTACTGGGTTTATTACTCTGTTGTGTGCATAGGCTACATCGTATCTACCCATTCGGTTGGTGAGCATGGGATTGTTACCGCTTTTTTGGCCATTATGAAAATGCTGCTCTGAACTCCTCTGTGGACATATGTTTTCCATTCTCTTGGGCATATGCCTAGGAGTAGATTGGCTGGATCATGTGGTGACTGTTCAACCTTTGGAGGGACTGCCGGTCTGTTTTCCAGTGTGGCTGCCCCGCTTTATATTCTTACCAGCCGTGTATGAGGATTTCAGCTGCGCCTGTATCCTTGTTAACACTTGTTATTGCATGTCTTTCAACGTAGCCGTCCGGGTGGGGGAGAACTGTAACCTCATTGTGGTTTCAATTTGCATTTCCCTGGTGCCTGAGGATATTCAGCATCTGTTCATGGGCCTGTTTGCCACTTGCATGTCTTTTCAGAAGTGACTCCAAATCCTTTACCCATTTTAATTAGGCTATTTGTATTTTTAATTATTGAGTTGTAAGAGTTCTTTATACATTCTAGATATAAGTCTCGTATCAGATACACAATTTACAAAAAATGTCTCTTAGTCTGTGTGTTGTCTTTTCGCTTTCTTCAAAGATGCCCTTTGAAGCACAAAAGTTTTTAATTTTGATGATGTCCAGTTTGTTTACTTTTTCTTCTGCTGTTTGTATAACCCAGAACTCTCACATGTGACACTGCCCTTAAACCCATATATTCTAAGTTGTAGAATTTGGCCCAGGCCAGGGACAGTTCTGTGGACAAGGAGCCCTATGCTGAGGACCTGTTCTCCCTTGCCTTGAACCCTCTCCTTTCCTCATGCACACGGCTTGTCCCTGGTTCACTCTCCTGCTCCTTTACTACATTCAGGCTGAAGACAGCGGCCCTCCAGGCAGCCTGCCCCTCTCCAGCTTCTCCCACCTTCCGTTCATGCCCTGTGCTGCTGCCAGATGCATCCGCCTCAGTCTCACCTGGCACCCTAGTGGCTCCCCACGCCGACCTGCGCAGGTACAGTTAGTCTTCAAGGGCAGCGTTCGGCGCTCATCTTTCTCCAGCTCTGCCTCTGGACCTGGAGTTCCCTGACTTCTGTCCTGTACACACCCCTGCCAGCCCGGGCTCCTCATGACCCTTCAGACCCAGCTGCCCGGTTTTCTTCATACAGCTGGCTGTTTGAGTTGGAATGTCCTGACATCCAGTTATATTGGCCCCACCATTTACATGCTGTGTCTCTGGCACACGCTTGAGTTTCCTGAGTTCATGCCCCTCATCTGTGAAAACAGGGACAATCTCCACCTTCTAAGGTCTGATACAGTGTGACTGCGCAGTGCTGTCCCACATGAGCGCACTTGACAATGGCAGCCATTGGAAGCAAGCGAAGAGATCATGTAGGTTTCTCACATTGACCTCCCTGGCTCCTTGTCACTTCTTCAGCCATGAATTATTTGGGGGACAGAATTAAGTGTGCTGGGGCCACCTCCTTCTGTGCTGCCTCCTGCTTGTAGGAGATGAAATTTCAACAGAGTTTGTCTGTTGACCAGAATAGTGGAAGTCTCAAGACCCAGGACCTTCCATATGGAATGACCCACCCTGGAATTTTCCTGGCTCCTTAGTGTGACATTCAAGAGCCTTCTCTGCAGCTTCTACCCACCCTTGCCACCATTCCCTGCATGGATTCTGCCCAGCCTTGCGGAGCCCCAGGCACCTGCAGGTCCTTGGGAGCCGCCTCTTGTGGCTTCTGCCTGTAGGCCCGTTGCCCTCCCTAACTTGCCTTCAGTGGCCTTGTGCGACCCGCCCAGGGCTCCCTTGGCTGCCACTGCACACTTGTTCATTCTGCTGGAAGGACTCGAGGGTGGCAGAGCAGCCTTTGCTGTCCTCTCTGCAGGAAACTTGAGGGCAGGAAGCGTATTGTCTTCACCTTCCTACCGCTAGGTCAGGTGCGCTGCTGGGGCCTAATAGTTAGTGAATATGTGTGTTGGGGAGGGGGGGCGGTCGGGGAAGCTGACCCTGTCAATCCCACAGGACTGGCAGCGTCAGGACCTGAAATCCGGATTCCTGTTCTCAAATACCAACTGTATTATTTACGAGCGGCCTGTACTTTTTGAACCTCTGAGGTTCAAAACTGAGGATTATGATTTCTACCTCAGGCTGTTGGAGGATGAAAATGAGGTGATTTTTTGGTGCAGATGCCATGTACCTAAACATATTTTTTCTACGTGTTGGCTAATTCTTCGGAAAGTGGGAGGTTCTGAATGTCGATGGTATGATTCACATTAATGAAGACTCCCAAAGGAAATTGAGAAATCTAAATTAACTGTATTGGAAGTACCCAAATTTAATGAGATTTTTAACAAGGATGTATACAGGAAACTTAGGTTTATGAAAAATTTCAATGACATAGGAACATGGTTATGTTATAATAACCGAGAAAAATAGGGTTCAGAGTTATGTGTACAGACCTGCAATACATACAAAAATACAAGCAAGATCCTGTCTTTAATTTTTGTGTATTGTTTGATTAGATAATCCATTCACATGGCAGTAAATTCCAGAGGTACAGAAAGTACTAGAACAGTCTCTCCCACTTTTTCCCCACTCAGCTCCTCTCCTTGTGGGCAATCATAGTACCATTAAAAAAACAATCCTTCCAATCCTGGCTGGTGTGGCTCAGTGGATTGAGCACCAGCCTGCGAAACAAATCACTGGTTTGATTCCCAGTCAAGGCACATGCCTGGGTTGCAGACCAGGTCCCCAGTAGGGGACACTCAAGAGGCAACCACATATTGATGTTTTTCTCTCTAAAAATAAATAAGATCTTTAAAAAATTGCAGAGCTGGAATGGGAGTAAAAGACAGAAAACTGTACTTGAACAATAATTAAATTTAAAAAATTCCAGAGGCCCTGACTGGTATAGCTCAGTGCATTGAGTGCAGGCCTGCAAACCAGAGGATCGAGGTTCAATTTCCAGTCAGGGCACGTGCCTGGGTTGCAGGCCAGTTCCCAGCAGGGGACACTCGAGAGACAACCACACATTGACATTTCTCTCCCTCTCTCCTTCCATTCCCCTCTAAAGATAAATAAATAAAATCTTTTTAAAAATTCCAGAGATATTCTGTGCACAGCAATATTCTGATTATGACTATATCTGGTTCTCCCAATACACTGTAATTTAAAAGCAGATACTCTAGATTTGTATCTCTAAGCAACCCAACAAGAGGAGAAAAATAAAGGATATTATTAAAATAATTTCCTTCCCTCAAGGGGGCAGTTTGTCATGGGTGTTTTCATGCAATCAGTTCAACTAGTGGATTTAGTTTTTTGTCCTTGTCTAAATACTTCACCCTAAGGCTTTAAAACAGGGAAAAATTAAGTGAAATTTAGTTGCCATGGACATTAGAAGGTAAACCTCAAACCTGAGACCTCAAGGTACATTTTAAAAATCTCAGTCCTCACAAAGGTATCTAGTGATTAAGAGGTTGGAATGTGGGATTGGAGAGGCTGGGTTCAAACTCCGACTCATCTGTGTGATTTTGGGAGATTTACTTAACCTCTCAGTGCCTCAGTTCCATCCTGTGAAAGATGGAGAGAGTATGATGGTTTAAGATTAATGGAGATAACCAACCTCATAAGGTGGTTATGAGATTAAATGAGCAAATGTGTGAAACACTTAGAAGAGGGTCTGGCACATGCTTGCAGTTGAGAGTCTGTTGTGTTGCCTGGTCCTGCTATCAAATAGCTGTGAGACTAGATAAGCTTCTGTAAGCAGGGAAACTAGGACACTTGCATATTTTTTCAAGGTCTTTTTCAATTCTAATGTCCTGTGATCCACAATTTGTGTCACTAGCAAAAGCCTAATTTCTTGCATGTAGCGGGGACTGCCACTGACCAGCAATCAAGAACCTGGGTGTGGTTCCGGGAGCTTGACCTTGGGGTTTGAATCTGGAGACAAGACCAAAGAGTCATAATACCTGAAGTATAGAAAAGGATATTCTAGGGAGGAGCAGGTCTTGAAAAGTTGTTCCTAAAATTACTAATCAGTCATGCACAATAAAATTATACTGTCCTGTTCCAGTGATGGGTCACTTATGTCCTTGTATGTGCCAGACTAAAGATGATGTCAAACACTGACTCACATCCACCATGAATAAGATCTCAGCCACAGCAGAGCTATTTGGATTAGGCAAAAGATAATTGTTCATGGAGGGGGTTGAAGCATCTCCCTTCAAGGTTTCAAAAAAAAATGCAGCTTCTTACACTGGACTGTGCCACCCATTCCTTTCCCCAGCAACAACTTGGAGGGCCAGGCTGGTGAGAGCCAGTGACCCCCAGGCAGAAGGAAGCCCCCCCTGTTCTGGATGCTTTGTCCTTGTTGGTGGGTGTCACTTGGGTGGGTTTCTTTTGCTAGGGAACAGCCTGAGGAAGATGGGAGATTTTGGTTTCTATGGATACTGGGCTGGCTGGGATTTGCATAATGTATTTCAGAGAACAGACAGTCTGGGAACAATGTGGACCCAGGAGGAACATAAAGGCACATGGAAACGAGTTGGAGGGTCTGGGTAGTCAGTCATAAATCAAAATTCCTAGCTGTTTGGTGTTGAAATTAGACAAAGTTATTTTAGTTTCATTTGGAATAACAAGGAGGGTTAAACCAAATATTTTGGGGGAGAAATCACACCCCTCAGATTTCATCTTGAGGAACTATTCAGATAGTGGGACAATTTATGTATAATTTATGCTCATCACAGAATTATTTAGAATAAGGAATAGCCGGAAATAATCTAAATATACAAGAGAAGGGTAACAGTAAAGTATTCCATATGCTGAAATACTACAAAGCCACTAAATAAATAAAAGAATATTTAAAGATGAGGAAATACTTGACAAAAGCCAAATTAAGTAGCAAAGAATAATCAGAGCAATTTCAATTTTGTAAATCTACTGTATTTTAGAAACAAATACCCAATATTGTTCACCATGTTTGGATGAGGTGTTTATACACATGACTTTTTTTCCCTCCTCCTCCCCAGCTCCTCCGGTTTTCTAAAGAGAGAAAGCATTACACTTAAAAAGGTAACATTAAGAAAATGAGAGTGTTAAATGTGGCTATTAAGTGGTTACTGGTGGCCTTGAAGAAGGGTTTTATTTTCTGAACTGTGAGGTTAGGAGGGGAAGCCTTAAGAGAGACAAGGGAGAGAGGTAACTGCTGGGCTGGGTCCCCAGAGACAGGATGGGTGACTGCAAGGGGACAAACGGAAACATTTGCATTGACTCATTGTGAATCCTTGCGTGTTTTCAGCCGGACGCTAGCGGCAGGGGTACTCAGAAAAAAAAGTGGGGAAGTTCTGGGACAGAGGGGCTGAGAGAAAAGGGGAGCCAGAGCGCACAAAGGCCAGAACTCGTTTGAAGACGATCCCAGGGTGGCGCGTGCCTGGAGAACGGGCTGAGCAGAAGAAGTCCAGGTCCGCAGGGCGTGGCCACAATGTTCTGCAGGCCACATCTAGGGTGGCCGTGTCTGGGGAGCTGGTCCAGATGCATGGAAGCATCCGGGTCTTAAGGAAACTTCCTAAGCAGGTACGCTACTATTGGCTACTGCTACTGACATGATGTCACCATCATCCAATCTGAAGTCAATTGCTCTTCCCCGGTTAGGAGTTCATTAACTCTTCTAAACCGTAGGAGCTAGCAAAAATAGTGCCCCTCATCTGTTTTTGACTCTACTTTTCCAGGGTAGGGAAGTGAGGAGGTGGCAATGGAAATAAACCAAAAAGAGCAGACAGTGCCAGATTTTGTAGATATAGATAGATATAAATTTTATGGTATAAAAGTAACGCATGTTGATTCTGAAAATTGTAAAAAGAATCACAGAATTCCACTACCCAAAGTTAATACTATTAAACTTTTCGATGCAGTGTCTTTCTGTATTTTTTAAACTAAAAAATATGAGAGTTTAATGGAAGTAACCTCACTATATTTCTGCAGCATTTTTCAAAATTCACTTATGAGTTTTAATTAATTGAGTTATTGCTATATAATTAGTTAAATTATTAAATTAATAATCTTCAGCCCTGGTTGTTGTGGGCCAATGGATTGAGTGCTGGCCTGCACACCAAGAGTCACTGGTTCAATTTTCCATTCCCAGTCAGGGAATTTGCCTGGGTTGTGGGCCAAGTCCCCAATGGGGGGGGTGTGAGAGGCACCACACACTGATGTTTCTCTTCCTGTCTCCCTCCCTTCTCCTCTCTCTAAAAATAAACAAAAAAATTTTTTCAAATCTTCAAATGCATAGTAGTTAAGGGCTGCAAAACTTTTCAACTAAATGGCCATTTCATAAGTGTATCATTTTCCAGTATTAAATCTCAACTATCATTTTTATTGGCTATCAGGAATTATATGAATATATCATAATTTATTTTAAAAGTGCCCAAGTCACCACTGCTGTAAATGCTATTGTATATACATTGTATTGTACAATCCTTGACCAGTCCATTCCTTAGGATAAATTTCTAGAAGAAAAAGTCCAGTGTCCGAGATTAGAATGCATGTTGCCAGATTGCTCTCCAAAAATGTCGTAAACAGTCTATGAGAGTGTCCAGTTCTGCACAGCCTAAACAAACTTGGGTGTCTAACCATTTACATCTTTAATAATCCAGTACAAAAAGGGAGCTCATGAATCTTCCCCTGCCCATTCCCTTCATTACTAGTGATGTTGACCACGGTTGCATCCAATGCCCCATAACTCCTTTCCGAATCACCTGTGTCTGTCTCCTCTGCCCACTTTTGTATCAGGAAGTTTGTCATCTTCTGATCCACTTGCAACATTTTTCATTTCAACCTGCCAGCATTTTCTTGAATCTGTTTTCATAGGTACACAAGTAAATATATAGGTTTTTCATTACACTATTTTTGTCAGGGTTTGGGTCCAGTGCTCAATCATTTTGGTACTGCATGGGTGCAGCTTTCCTCTTTCTGCACGTGGAATAGTTCATATAGTGGGATCGTGGAAAGTTTAAAGAACCAGAACCATTATTGGAGGAAATTCTTTGACCAATTTTAAAATATCTTACATAATTATTCATCAATTCAATTCAGTTAGTCTATCCTTTATTAAATATTTGAAACTTAATTATTTTAGTTAAAGTAATTAAAGTATTAATTAGAACTTTATTAAACTTTATTAAATTTTTTCAGTTAATAATATACACTTGGGTACAAATATAAAATTCAAAAAGAAGACAGTGCAAGGTAAGTTTCTTTCTCCTCTCTGCCCCCAATCATCTACCTTCTCTTCCCACTAGCAACCATATTATTGGTTTGTTATGGATCTTTCCAGAAGTATACTGAAATTAAGTACATTCTTTTCACAGACTGTGCATATTTTTATCTTGATTTTTAAAATATGAAACATTTTGAAGATTGTCTTAATATATATGAAGTTACCTCATTCTTTTTAAGAACTATGTAATGTCCCTTGTATAGAAATTATAATTTACTTAGCCACCTCACTTCTAAGAGAAATTAAGGTTATTTCTAATATTCACTATTACAAATAATGTGACAATAACTGTGTTACATGTAAGTATCAAATCTGTGGGCTGTTTTTTAATTAAGCAAGTATAGTCCATATGCAATCATTTTCATGACAGATATGCTTAGACATAATTGTGTCATTATATTATAAATTCTGTTTTTATGTCTTCTGAATTTTAAATATTTCACTATTGTCCTGACTGGTGCAGCTCAGTGGACTGAGTGCCAGCCTGTGAACAAAAGGGTCGCCAGTTCGATTCCCAGTCAGGGCACATGCTTGTATTGCAGTCCAGGTCTCCAGTAGGGGGCGCACAAGAGGCAATTACACATTGATGTTTCTCTCTTTCCCTTCCTTCCCCTCTCTAAAAGTAAATAAACAAAATCTTTTTTAAATAAATAAATAAATGTTTCACTATGTATCTGTGTGCATGTATGTGTTGCTTCTAATAACCTGGAAGGTTTTTATTTTCAGTCTGGTGGTTACCCTTATATAAATTTTAAGCCATTTTATTTATTGAAGTCAATGAATGTGGCCTGTGTAATTTCTGCTGTTTGTAATTGTGGATGCTTCCTTTGGGGTTTTGTGTATAACCATTTTTTAAGGTGTTCTATACTCCACGTAGTGGTTTAAAAAAGTATGTTCAGAAATTCTTTGATGCTCCAACTTTGAGGGAAGTGATCTAATCCCTCTCTCCCTAAGCATGGGTTGACTCAGCAACTCATTCTAAGGAACAGAATGAAGCAGAAGTGGCGGTGTGAGACTTTGAAAAGTAGGTCACCTTAAGGGGCTGCAGCTGCTGTCGCAGCTGCTCTTGCCCTCTTGCATCATAACCCCTCTGTGTCTTGAGAATATCTTCCAAAGCAGATCCTCCAGCCCCAGGCAGACCTCCCAAGGACCACAGCCCTGGCCGGCATCTTGGCTGCAGCCCTGTGGGAGAGCCACAGCTGGGTCACCGACCCTCAGAAACAGATACTACATGTTTGTCATTTTATGTTTTGAAGTACGTAATATTTTTATAGCACTAGATAACGGATGCACCCTGGGTTGCCTCTCGCACCCTGTTTTATCTGACATAACAGTGCAGCTCTCATCGTCTGTGCCCGTTTGTCTGCTGTGCATTGGTCTGTCCTTTCAGTTTTAACTCTGTGTGTCCTTGTTTTAGATATGCCTGTAGTACGACAGTGAAATGAAGTGTTTCAGATGTTGTTTTTCATAGAAAAATCTAAAACTTACTTTTATTGTCATTCTGTTTTCATGTATTTTATGTTTCCTTGGTTCACCCCACACACACACATATTTTGCTCTGTAAAGTGTATTTTCTTTGCATTTTTTTCTCTAAAAATTTGCTAAGTACTTATACTATTTGTAGTTTCAATAGTTATTACCTTAGTTTTATGTGATAATACAACCAATACTCTCTATTTTATGAAATCAGCATTACAAATAAAAACCGGAGAGTAACATAAGAATGATAATTATAGACCAATTTTTTTCAAAACAAAAGGTCCTTTTAAAAAAGCAGTAAACATTTCAGGGGAAAGGGGGAAGAAGGGTTTACAGGAACAAGTATAAAGGACACATGGACAAAAACTAAGGGGGCGGAAATGGGAGGGAGGTGAGGAGGGCTGGTGGGGTGAGCTGGGATGGGAGTAAAAGACAGAAAATTGTACTTGAATAACAATTAAAATAAATAATTTTTTAAAAAAGAAAAAAGTGTTAAACAAATAGGGAAACAAATCTTCAAGTATTTAAAAAGAGTATATATCCAGGTTAAGTTTATTTCAAGAATTTATTTTAGGCTTTTTTTAAGTCAATTATTTTATTAGGGAAATAAAAATTACTCAAATGTTAACTGGATGTAGGCAAAGGAAAGAAACATTAAAAGTCAGTGTGTTGGTAAAGAAACCAGAGAATTCGTTTGGTTCCGCCCAACAAATATTCCGAATCCAGGGTTTCCATATGTCTCCATGGCTCCATTTCTCAGGGGTCACTTGCTATTCAAAACATTCTGGAGACCAAATGAAATACGATTCTTTTGGCGACCAAGAGTCTTTAGGCCTTCTCTCAGCCAAGACATCTGGTGAAAATACAATTTATGTCTCAGATGCATCTTGAGAAGTGAAAAGTCTCTTTCCCACTGCATTGCTCGACCAAGAGTCTTTAGGCCTTCTCTCAGCCAAGACATCTGGTGAAAATACAATTTATGTCTCAGATGCATCTGGAGAAGTGAAAAGTCTCTTTCCCACTGCATTGCTATGCTCCGTGCTCTTGGTCCTCTCTCCCATGTACTCATTCTCCAAGCATTTTCTCATCTCCCAATCAAGGTCATTGCAATGACCAAAACATTCCAGAACGCTGCGATTTCTGTGACAATCCTTAAGTTCATCAGGACGTTACATTCCTCGGTGTACAGGTGTGGAAACAAGCCCGGATTCACCTTCAGGAGCCCAGCACAGCAACCAGACTCGTGGCTGCACCAGGAGGGCTGAGGGGTACTCCCCAGCGAACACTCCTCAGCCAGAGGCCAGCTTGTCTGGGCGCCAGAGCCAGGCGAGCCCCAGGTGGGGAACGCTTCCCACCCCCCACAGCTGACCCAGCCAGCCTGCCCCCTAGTCTGTGTTTTTAAAGTTCAAAATCAATCAATCATTTCATCACATTAAAAGAGAAGAAAGTCTCTGATCATCTCAGAAGATGCAGAATAATTGTCTAATCAAATTCAACAACATTCATTTAAAAAAATTCTTTGGAAGCTAGGAATAGAAGAAAATTTTCTGAATCTGAGAATCGGTATGTACAAAAAATTAGAGAAAACAATGTATTTAATAATGATGAAATGTTGAAAGTGTTTCCCTTGAAATCAGGCCCAAGACAGGATGTCCAGAATCATTACTTCTATCCACCATCTTTTCGGAGTCCCTAACCAATAACTTAAGGCAAAAAAAGAAATAAAAGCTATAAGGATTGAAAAGGAAAAACTAAAAGTTTCATTATTTGCAGATGATACAATTATTTGTGTAAGTAAATCAAAACAATCTACATATAAATTGTTACTAATAAATGAGTCTAGCAAGAAACTAGAATATAAAAATCAAGATATTTTCAATAAAATATTTTCAATAATATTGAAAAATTAAATATTTAGGAATAAATATAATGATATTTACAGGGCTCTACACAGGCAATTATCAAACATTTTTGAATTAAAGAAGGCCTAAATAAATGAGAGATATACCATTTAA